CTTGTTATTTTCAAGAAATCTAGTAAACTTGTCATAGCTTGCGTCACTGTCCTGGCTTAACTCGTAATTCGCCGGAGCGTTGGGAGGTCCTGGAGTCGTCTAGGAAGAGGGTAACACTTAAGGAATTGCTAGGTTAACGTAAACTCACACGCATGTCTATCCTATTCTATTTCTCTATGTCACTATATACATCTATATGCACTCTTACCGACGTTCGCCGGTTGTACTACACTGGATAATGAACCTGCAGTCATCATTGGTTCTACCTCCTGTCACCCTACTGGCGGGTATTCTACGCCGCGGTATCTCGAATGAACCTAGTCAATCTAGTTAGCCTATCTTTCCCTGTGGTTTTACACTTTACAATTATCACTGTTACACTTAATGTTCATGGCTATATGAAGTTGGTTTCACTTACTTGAGATGAGGAAACAGATGCTCGCCATCAGCAACCAGCGCACACTCACGGCCATCGCTCTCTCGGCGATAGCCTCCCCTGAACTCTAAGTTACTTAATATCAATCAAAAGTCTAAAGGCAAAAGGTTTTTTGATTAAGTCTTCTAGGGTTTATATAACCTCTCTTTGCTGATTCTTTGAGTTCCGGGTAGGTTGCCTGCCCATTCTGACGTGATTTTGGCCTCCCTCATTGGTTGCCCATCGAGAAGGGGTTGACTCTTTCGGGTCTACCGCCTCCTCTGACTCAGCGTTTTCCTCCTGCCATAGTGTTTATGACCCACTTCATATAGCTCCTTCCTCAATGTCAGCGCTATTACACTGCCGGGTTAGCATTCTAATGACTCAGGCATTCCCTGTTACAATTCTTTGTAGACCTAAGCTTCCTGGTTCGTTTCATCATGGCTATTTCTTAATCTTACAGTCTAGCTACTATTATTCCAATTTTACCCCACAAATTATATCTCCAAGTACCTGACCTTTGCGCCGTTACATTGACATCCCGCGATAGGGAGTGATAGCCAGTGAGTGGACAGTCATGGCTTGAAATCGACAGTTGGAGAAATGGGTTAGGTGCTAGACGGTAATGACGTGAACAGAAGAGGATACTGTTGGGATCCGCTGCCAAGCAACGACTGAAGACACAGAAAAATGAGAAAACTTAACGTGTGTTATTGTGAATTGGTATATGTGTAGATTAACGACAGCTTTATACTCATTTGTAGTTTCGAGTTACGAGAGTTTAATAAATTCATCTTACCAATCCAAACCCCGTGTCTAGTGCCACTAACAGGTGGCAGTAATGAGACTGGAAGGTACACTCGGTACCGAAGTTTCCAAATGCGTTTATTGCACATTAGTATTCAGATTACTCCTAACCGTCCGAGAAACTCTGCTGAAGACATTAAAAATATGAAGAACAGTTTGGTTACCGTGGTTTCTGATTACTGGTTTCGGAAGTGCCACTAATGTCGCTCCCAAGTCATAAGCTCGTGTGTCCACCATGCTGTTATTACCGATTGCAATAAATTAAAAAGACGTTCAGGCAAGAATTAATCGCCTATTTCCTTTGATAAGACATGGATCGCATAGAAAATGACGTCTTCAACAATTTTTCTTTGCGCGGAAACATGCTCACCGAGCCGTTGCCTAGCAACGATACTCATACAGAGACACAGACTGATGGGAGGGATTTATAAAATACGCCGTTCTGATGGGCTCAGGTGCCATGATATACACACCAAGTTTCATAAAGATTGGTTCAGGCATTAAAAAGTTTATGGGGAGAAGACACAGACAGGAATGAGATCGCAAAAGCAGCTAAAAATGGGCGGTACGTCGTAAACAAACACACAAACAAGGGCCTATCACTAAAATGATGCAAAATGAAAAATGCGAAGCTAGAACACCCCCTCTCTACACAACATGCTATAATGACATACAGGGGATGAAATCGTCGCATTATATAGAAACAAGTGCTCACGTTCCAGCCGCTTCAGCCCCTGTGTGGCCCTCCAAAACTAGTCTGGAAGCGGTGGCGAAAAGGAAAGTCCTTCCACTACCAAGAATCGAAACCCAGGGATGCAGAAATAAGGATGAACTTTTAATTTTATTAATTCGGTTCGCCACACTAGTTAAATATTACAGAATGATTTGACAACACCGTCCAGTGTGACTCAAATGTATATTTATATGAACGACTTTACATGTTTCGGTCAGTTATGATAATCTTCAGAGGGCAAATAACACGTTGAGGAAACTACTATTACACTTATTATAGTATATCAAGTTGAATCAAAGTTTTATATAAAGATTTCAATTAAGATAAAAATGTGGTTAAGTTAAAAATTATTAAATTCTTAATATTTAAAATCTTAAACCGCTAAGGTTCGTGTTTTCGTGCCTCTTCTATCAACGGGAGACTGGGGTGATACTGCCGTCCTTAGAGGTCGGGCAGTGCTGTTTTCCGCTTTTTATAGTTGGTTAAGAATCTGCTGTGTTATTTTCACACCAGAGTACTGGTACAGTTAGAGAAACACAGTTAAGGAATACACCTACAAGTACAAAAGTCAAGGCAGTAAGAAAATTCGTTTTCAGAATAGGACGATACAGAAAACAATAACAAAACTTTACTGCGTAAACAGGAAGACGCATACAATAACTGCACAACTACCACCCCATAATGTCTTAGGTTACGGATGCAGATTGCCTTTGATATGGAGAGTAGCTACGGATATACTGAATACGCAGTCCCAGACAGCAGACAAGGGATGCAACAACTCTTCATTTAAAAAAA